GCGAGGCTGAGAATAAATTGTTCCGTTCTTTGTTGTAAAAAGTTTATGCACCGAGCGCCGTCTCTGCGTCTGACAAATGAATAGAGGACAAATTGATGCTACAAGTTTTGTTGGAGCAACTCCGACTACACTTGGATGAAACATTTCTCGTTACACCGATAATGTAGGAAGATGTTGTTTTAATAGAATCAACAGAATTTTTTGTTGGAAGCGGAACATTAATGGAGTTGCAGAAAGCTTATGCGTTACTGTTAATGTTATGAGCAAGCAAGCACTGCCTGGTAATGTGGATGTAGCTAAAACGGTTTACTGCATTTTCTGGAAATACGAAGCTGCAATTTTGTTCATTTTAGAGAATGCGCAAAAATGTAGCAATATTTCTTGTTTATAAATAGGAATCTCAAATGTTTGAAGAAATGATAAAAGACAAGGTTTTAGTATCTTCTGGATATGCCGCTGGGATGCTACGAGGTCTGTACATTAAGTGATGATAGTGATTTTTTTTAAATTTTGTTATTCAAATATAATTACAATTTTATACTGTCACTCTCAAAATAAATTCCTTCTGACGCCATATGACGCTGGGAATAGTTCTTCTACTCCTCATAGCAGTGCTGGAGCTCCGATACAGCAATAGCCTTCAGCTGGCCAGTTACAGCCGTTTGAATGTTTTCGACCACCAAAATGAGTTTCTTGGAGATCATTTTTCATCTTTTGGAAGGAAAAGAAGGCGAATAAGGGGACTGAGGAGCCACAAAAATGTTCTTACTGACCAAAAACTCATCTACAGACATTGCATTGTGACTAGGAGCATCCCCAGTTGTTCTTGATCTGATGAACGGTGGTGTGAGTCAGTTTAACCCTTCACCGATCACCCTGACTGTCTACTGACGATCTGATTGAACAACATTTCAGATTTTTTCGATATTTTAATCGGTTCTTGAAGATGAAGGCCTTCCGCTTCGTGGTTCATCTTCAATCGACTTTCTCTCTCTTGAAAATGCCTTGAACCACCGAAAAACCTTGGCTCTTGACAAAACACTATCCTTGTAGGCTAGCAGATATTTTGGAAGAGTTACCGTTACACTGTGCCCAAGATGATGCAAAACCAGTTTTTAGAACCCAATAGAAATAACTGTTTCACAAAGAAAATCGCTACGGATAACCAAATCACTCGAGCGAGTTCAAACTTGTACTGAAGCCTAGCGCCTCCGGTGTTGCCGGATCGAACACTACGTTGCCAATCTCAACACCTAATTTACAGTCTTCGCATATATCCTCTAAGGCTTTTTCTCCGTTCAACTTTCAAGTCAGGTAACTATGATTTGGAAGTTAACTATCAGTTGTCTATGAACTCATTTTTCAAGTTCTCCTATTCATGGTCCTTTGGTTGAAGTTGACTACCAGTTTAGGACAAACTTGATATTGAAAAACACTTTTTGGAAGTTAACGTCTGGTTAGCAGACAGTTCCAGTTAACTTACAATTGAAAAAGAGGGTCTTAAGGAAGGTAACTTACAAACTATAATTTCTGCAGTATGGTGCAAGGGACACTCAAGTGAAAGATTCACATCATGTCTTTCTCCGAAAAAGCTGCAGACTCGTGCTTGTCCATCAAGTATCCCTAAACCAGAACTGAGGCCGATAAACTTGGTATAGAATAGCATAACATTGTATATAGTGATGATCACGGTTTTGGAGTACACCATGAACGACCACGATAAGATATAAGATAAGAAATATGTATAATGTTAAAAGTAATTCAAACATAAATATGTGGTTCCGTTTAGTGACCAGACAATCAGCTTGAAAACCACGGGATAAGTTTCAAATGTTACAATAGTAAAAATTATTTGGCTGAATATCACATACACCATGCTGTAGCAGTTATGGTTTAGGGGTCCACTAATATGGTGCTGGTCACTTCCAACCTCTATTAGAAGCGTGACAGTATATCCAGGAAATACTGAAACCTCACTTTCAGTCATTCCTTTAAGCCCGCCAAGACACCATTTTCTAACAAGATATCCCCGCCTTCCTCCTTCTACGTCTAAAGTCCTTTTGCCTGTTAAATAAGTGTGGAAAGAAGAGTGACCTGTTTACCTCATCCTCCACCATCTCTGATAACTTTTAGTGACCAGGTCCAACTAGCTCGGAATGATGAATCTCCAGTTAGGTAGGTCACCTCATCAGAAGCGTGCTTTGATTGGGCTGAACGTGAACACATTACTATTTTTTTTATACTCCAACTACCACGAAGGCCTAAGGCCTAAACACCCATTGGGTACCGTGGGGCTATAGGGGGATGCATGGGAAAGGGGGGACGCCACACGGACTCTGGCGAGGGAACACGTGTGCATGCAACATGCACACATTCTGGCTCCGCCTACGAGATCCGCCGGTTGGTACCTCCACGTTCGACAGTCAGAGACCGTCTACCACCTACGGACAATCACAACATCCATAGCCAAGAGAAAAATGTATCCTGGGACGGGACTCGAACCCGCACAGCGCACGGCGACTGATCAGGAGACCGAAGAGCCTACTACTGCGGCCACCGCTGCTGCCATGCAAGGATTATTTTCAATTCAGAATCAATTCAGTCACTACTTCTTCTTGCTCACGTCTAACTGTGCATATACAAAATTTCATTCAAATAAAATCAGTTTTACTGGATGTTCTATTTTTGTTGCCACGGAGTGGACGTTGGATGTGTTCCTAACAGTTTCTCGATAAATATGTCTTTGTATATTCTAACAAGGCAAGCGAACGGGTGAAAAATAACGGATCTTGGTAAAACTTTTCAAGTATACCTCAAATTGATAGACAGATACTTGAGAGATGCTCAAAAAGGAGCTTTACGGTAAATAAAATTTGTCAATAATATCACACACGCTTAAGATTTACAAGTTTAACCTTCTCATTATCTTTTTCAATCTATCACAGAAAGCGTCATTTAACTGTCAAGCGGGATCTAGTCAACTCTCTTACCTTATTAATCTGCAGCTCAAGCGTTTGAATCCCCAAATTCATTAGCGCAGATAGGACAGGTCAAGTGTCCAGTGGCGGAAAGTCTTATAATCCAGAATTGTTATCAGGCCGAGCCACTAACCTCCCAAAAACCCTCCCGGTTCCGCTAAAGGACGCTTCGGCAGCAATTTGAGGGAAATCCGTCGTGCTTGACGAATGACGGGATGAAGCTGTGTAAACTTAATTAATGGCAAATAATAGAGGGAGGCAGAAGTTCGTAATTGTAGGAATATTCAAAAGACCTCTTCCATTTTTACAAGCTGTTCTTCAAGTTGACCTGATAGTATTTTGGTATGTCTAAGAGATTGAATTGAGATAAAAATTCGAGTCTACGTTTGTTAGTCATGAGAATAGATATAGATTATATGCCGTCATTTTGAATCCAGTATGACGATAAAAATAGCAATTTATGATTTCCATACCAAAAGTGACAATTCTAAATCCAATACGGCTGCTGCCGCAAAATGGCGATTTATAATTCCCACGGTCACCCCTATGATATGGATATCTGATGAAAGGTATTGATTAGGGAAAGAGATCAGGGTAAAGTGACATCATTCCAATATGGTAGCTGTCATAAAATGAAAAGGCTTGATGACAGCAACACAATAAGCATTTATTGGATCCATTGAATAAACACTTTTATAAAAATAAAGTAAGTTTGTGAAGTCCTTCTGATGAAATATATCTAAGTAAGTTTTGGAGGTATTCAGCAGAAATACACCTGTCGCCATATACCTGTATCAACTGATGATGGAGATCCACAGGTGGAGTCCCTTTGGCATGCAAAAAGTGAATTATGGAACGAATCTTGTTCTTGGCGGGATGAAAAATAAGAAGATCCATTGAGGACGGCTGCTGAGCCAAGAATGAGCTGCGCAGAGAATCGCAGACGGAGGAAATGATAATGGCGGGGGGACCGCACGCAGCGGGGTTGCCGGATTTCGCCTCGTACCTTCCAGTGTGGCTGGAGCTCTTTGCAAATCTTATTTCGGGGTTAACCCTCGTACCACGTAGTAGAAAGCGCATATGCACCACGCGTCACATTTTATTTATTTGTCCACGATTGCGTACTTGGACAGCGGAAAAGGTTTTCCACAGCTCTGGAATTTTCACTATTATTCTTATATATGTATTTGGAAATAAGACCCCATATTTTCTTAGATGGCAAAATGAAGTCCGTTTGTCTCATGAATTTGGCTCATTCAGATTTTTGGTTAAAATTTTGATCGAATTGTTTAAACAATTTACTACTTTTCACTATTCCTTTGAAATCCTTTTTAAAGTTCGAAAAGGATAATGGTTAAGAAATAGGAGGAAAAGGAGTCCTTCTAGAGTTGCTAAATTGATTAATGCCTTTTGGAATGAGGAGATAGGACGAACAAAGGCAGGGCAGAAATGGAAGTTGTCCATCACTCTTGTCATTAAAAAATTAGATTATAGGAATTTACCTGTATTTTAAATACATTTTATGTTCTTCCTTTAGGATCCTAATTGGTGATTTGAATTTCTACTAGCGGTGCGTAATGGGGCATTTCGGGACTCATGTTTGAATACCTTGCACCATTATTGTTTGATATTTTTTGTGCCCTAGAAATTGTCCTAGTGTATAATGGAGAGTGTCTAATTTTGACAGATGGACTATCTGCTTCAGATTTTAACGGTGCAATCGAAAACGCTACACGAAGATCCATGTCGGGTAATTTCAAATTATGTAAGGTTTTTGGAAATCATTTTTAAATACTAATTCTCAACTGTAATTCATAAATGTGTAACGAATATGACGCTTAAGCAAATTTAACTCGCTTTTAAATCATTATTGTAGCTTCTTTTTACATTTTTCAAATCAATAACAAAGTGGGGGTCCGATACTCAGCACTTTTCTCTACCTTAAGGTCTTCATACAGTAACATCTTTTATAGTTTCACCATCCATGTTATATACTCGTACGTATATGCGATAAGGCCTTACCTGGCACAGGCATGGTGGGCACACAATCCATCCTAACATCAGCCACCGCTCCCGTAATAGCCTGGCTAACATACACAAAGCAGTACTCGACGTACTTCTCCGTGAAGAGATCACAGTCGAAATGGAGGCTGTGTCTTCCCCTCTGGACCTTTTGCTCCTCTACGTACTCCAACGTCGAGGGCGGCTGAGCAGCTGCCACGTCCGCCCTCAGCCTTGCGAAGAGTCTCACCCTATCGCTTTCGGCCAGGATGCACGAGGGGTACTGGAAAAGCACTGGCACGCCGCCGCTGTGCGCGTCGCAAGGGAAGATGCTGCGCGCGTGTACGTTGAACACGAATTGCTCGCTCCAGTCCACCTGGAACAAAAGAAAAATTGTTTGAAGTTCAGGTCTTTTCATGGTTTTTGAAGAGCCATAGTCAGCTTACATTCTATATATTCTATGATCCGAACTATAAACGACCTTCACCGTCAGTTTCATGGACGAAAATCAAATTTAGTATGTTAAAAAATGTATCGCTAGTGGAATGGTTAAAAAATCCATACGAGACTATGATTAACTAAAAATTGAAAATTTATTTTTTTTGAAGTTGCACTAAAAAGCTTAACAAATAAATATAATACCAGCCCAAAACATGAAGCGTGTAGAATATGCAAACGGTGGGTTGTCTATTTTTTCCCTGATGTAACTACTGGGTTGGCAGGTATTAAGAGGTATGTTGATACTAGTTATTTGCATTTAATAAATAAATGAGAACCTTTTTACCGCAAACACGGTGATATAGGGTTGTCTGCAAAAAAACCTGACTGGAACGATGATTGGCAGGTCTTTAAGAGTGAAATTTTCATGAGAATGCAAACTTGTGACATAGAGGTTTAAGTCACCTATCCCGTGCCATAGAAGAGGATGCAGAGGATGCATGTGAGTGATTAAGCATTACTTTTTGGTTGTGATCAATATAGAAAAAAAAAAGAAAAACTCAGCGCATAAAGTTGTTTTAATTGATATATTGCCTAATCAGACAAAAAATAAAATAAAAACATTGTAGCATTCTGTGTAGTGCGGTAGGTCACAGTTTGAATTCTATTATTCCTTAATTATTGAGGTATCCGACGATCTATCGAATAATAATTGAATGAATAGCTTTCTCCTCCGCAACTGTTATAGCTAGAGTACTTAACTTTTCATTAAACAACTTAATTTTGCAATATTTGCAAGAACGCAAAATGTAAGATTTATAAAAAAATGTAATCGCACATCCGGTGCATTTTGTGCTAACCCAAATTGTAACTATTTTAACTATTCAAATAGTGACCTGACGACATGTCGTAATACAAATAAAAAAAAATCTGAATCATGTTCCAGCTGTACTCCTGATGGAAATACTAAAGCAAATCTCTTAGTAAACTCCATCCCATTCCAACGTAGGTCGAGGGCCCCGAGTTTCTTGACCAAACAAATCTATCCCATATATGCTTATTTTCTTCTGGAACGGATATGGGTTAAATCAACAGCTTATGTTGCGGAAAAATGTAGCAAAGCATACGCAATACAGAAAATATTGTCGGCTGTAGCGGGTATTGATTAAATCACGTCTGCTTGTAAAGAGAGAAAGCAAATCCATGCTGTTTTCAAAATATGGTGAGGAAATATGGACCTATTCAAGATAGAAGCTACTGCTACCTAGACGGGCCCAGGGCCAACCACTTTTTCTACCATAATGCGTGATCTACAAGCTGCCGGAATATCTGGCCTAACTGCTCCTTTGATAACTCGTTTTTTTGAAAAAAATTATTGAAATTCAGCAGACAGATTTATCTACAGTCGCTTGACAGTCTTTTAGAAGACCAGGATATCTTGAACTGCAGAAAAGAATGTGTTGACGGATTTTACAACAGAAATACATGTTTTAGGGTAAACAAGATGGATCTTCATCTAGAAACACAAATCATATTTCTGGAAACTTTTTAATTAACCGTCAATGTTGCAAAAAAGGTCATATATTCAAGAAACTATCCTTCGAAATGTGACCCTCTACACATTCCTTATTCCAAGCAATCGCCAACTTTCAAATTTGTTTTATATTAAAAAGTGCAGGACGTAATATCGGGCATCCGAAAGAGAAGTTCATAAAGTCATAAAATTACATTGCTGAGAAAACGCGATTCAAAATTTTCACCATCACATTGTTGCTGCCACATCTCAGCAGTAAGTGTTACTGTCATGGGACTAAAAATCTACAATGTATTACTACAACTGGTTCAATAGGTCTCAAAACACCTATAAGCGCCAGATTCCTTCCCAAATATAAAAATTTCAACAAATTTTTAAATACGATTCGCTTATTCTGAATTCCTGTAGTGAATATGTCACTACGGCGACATTGAAACGTGATGACAGGTAGCGTACTTTTTGAGATATGACGTTTTACCACTCGCGCGGCGATTTAGTCACTTTCACGCTCTTGAAATCTAAATATTGTAATGAAAACACTGTTTTTACTATCCGAAGTCAAATTTACTACTATAGACTAATTTATAAAACTTGCAACAAATTTATGACAAATTTATACCCATGTTGAGTGGACTATGTTGAGGCATCGGTCGCTGTTGGTTGACTGTCTTTTTTCCAATGTCCCATAGCCCATATATTTAGGAATCGACTTATCCCGTTGGCAACCTTGAATCCTCGATCACTCACGCACGAGAACGCAATTGCCCTCAAAGCTTCGCAAACTAATTTTGCGAATGAATCTTTTCGAGATTCAAGGCCTCCGTTTCGTATGCGTGACTGAATGAAATGTTGTCCCTATTGTAGAGAGACAATTTGAATCTATCGAAACAGTGACAGGTGCACCGTATATCGGAACCTATACAAAAAAATTAACACCTGTACAAGTGTACGACTGTACAACCGTCAATAATTTTGATCATGAAAATAGACTTCGATGACGTTCTACGACTAAAAAAATATAATAATAATAATAATAATAATGTCTTTACTAATCCATCCACACTGCGAGGCGAAGTTTAGCCAGCTGGCTACTCTACCACTTATTCTCACATAATTTTTGAGCATGAGATAGTTCAAAGCGCCATCTATCGCACCAGAATCGACCATTGTGGATCGCCCATCGCTGCTATTAGATGGGTCTGTCATGGATCTCAGTTCGAGTTTAATAGCCGTACCGCTAAATTGCTCATGATTCTGGCTAGAAGTAGATGTGGTCTACTTGCCAGTGAGAAGATTAAGCACGATGCTTTCTTATAGAATCTTTGACTTGTGTCACTTTTCTTCCGGACGAGCGATATATAGGAAAACTAAAATACTTTGTAGTGATTTACATCAAAAAAAACTCAACAGGATCGATCATTTTTTTTAAATTCGTTTGCTTCTAAATCTTTCGAGGCCAATGGTCATTTTTACATTTACTTTGAAGTTCAATAGAAATGTTACACTGCAAAATAATCTGTATCTCTAGACGGAAGCCATTTTCGTTTACTCTTTGAAATATAATTCCATTGTTAAATTCATCTACAGATTTTATTCTAGAACAGAACACGTTTTTGGATAGCTGGCCTGATAGGCTAGTAAACAACAAGATTTTGCAAAATCGCCTAAAGTGTTAGATAGCGCGCTACATTTCCAATCGATTTAATAACATATACATATAGTTGTTTTTAATCGCATCACAGTTTTGGGTCGTATTGGACTATTATTCAGATATAAAATTCATGTAAAAAGTCTCAAATAAAATATTTTTCATATGCCATTTGTATGGAATATGTTGCCCGGATTTAAAAGAGGCCTTATTATCAATGACTGTCAGATAGACCAGATTGAATTTAAGCGATGACAGAACCTTTAAGTCAACATTCACCTGTGCTTAAATCAAACGAACTGCAAATTAATAGGGGGAGGTCTGGTATATAGCTGAAGGTATTTCATTGGAGATATAGGCCAAATAGATGTCGCAATCGTTTGGGAAATAGCCAGCGGCTAGTTACGAGTGATTTACGATTTTCCATAGATTTACGGCGTGTCATTCGTGGCTATCTGGAACCAATTATATATGGGCCACGAAGCCTCGGCTTTGGACTCTATCGGGATGTATTTATTAGGATATTGCACTTGAAAGTGCAATTGCGCTCTTTCAAAGAGGATTCATAATAGATAAGCATGTAGAAATACAGTATGTCGTTTTAGAAAAGATAACGACATCAAAATACTACCACATATACTAAGTGACATATAAATCCGAACACCCAGTTTAAATGGTTTTATTTTAATAAAAGTTGGTGAATGTATTTATCTTACTGTAAATAACAAGTGAAAAAATTTTCAGCCTTATCAGTTGGACATTCCGGTTTTTATAATGCTTTTTTTTAATTCACTAACGCTCTAAAAATGAATATTTCAGCCGCAGTAAAGAATCATCGTTGGCGGATTTTGGTTCTTGACATCCTTTACGATCGGTTACGATGCCTAGAGTACGGAGACCTGTACTATTTCGTCAACTTAGTGAGTTTGATAGGAGCCGTATAGTGGAACTTCGGGAAGCTGGACTTTCTTTTCGGGCAATTGCAGTTAGAGTGCAAAGAAGTGTAGACACTGTGGTTAGGTGTTGTCAGGCATGGCTTCGAGAAGGCCGTACGCAAAGAGCAAGGGGCACTGGACGCCGCCGTAGAACAACAGACCGTGAAGATCGTCGCTTAAGATTATTGGCCTTAAGGGACCGTTTCTCCACTACCAGGTCCATTGCAAATGAATGGTTTGCCTTTAATCTTCATCAGAGGTAACATGAACGCGCAGCGTTATATCCACGAAGTTCTAGAACCCCATCTTTTACCCTATCTTGACACCCTGGCAGATCCACTTTCCAACAAGATAATGCCCGACCACATGTTGCAAGAGTCGCAATAGACTTCTTTCAACATAATGATGTCACATTGTTACCATGGCCACCAAGATCTCCCGACTTATCCCCAATTGAGTACGTGTGGGATATGATGGGTAGGAGATTGCTCAATTTGCAACGTCCTCCTCAGACTCTAGAAGCACTTCCAGAGGAGTTGGTGGTTGCCTGGAATGAGATACCACAGGAGGACATTGACCACCTGATCAGAAGCATGCCTAGGCGCGTTGGAGAATGCGTAGCACATTATTAAAGGTCAAAGGGCTTTAAAGCAGTGCAATCGTTTTGAAATTTTTATCATTTACTTATTATGCTTCATTAAGTACTTATACAAAATTTTATTAAAATAAAACCATTTAAACTGGGTGTTCGGATTTATATGTCACTTAGTATATAATGCCTTTTATATCCCAGCCACAAAATATACAAAACAATTATCGAATATATATCGAAACGTCAATAACTTGAATGTAGACGATAGAATCTGACGTGTAGCTCTGGATCATTCTCATTTTCAATAACAAGAAAATAAAATTTAAGTGAATTATTCTTACCGCGGCAAACTTTGATAATTTGCCACTACTCCAAATGATACGTACGATAAGTACGGCCTATAGCCCAGCAACCATGAACATATTGTGGTATCTGGCCCGGCGATAGCTTGGCAATATTTTTGCAATGTGTAGGCACTTACTTACACTTGTCAGAGTGTAACAACAGAAAGGCTTCAAAATCGGGCGAAAATGGTCGATAAGGTTGTATACGTCGCGGCAGCCTACATTATTATTAGTAAGATTCCGCAGGGTTATTGTTTTACATCAGGAGGTAACCTACTTTATTCGAACTCTTTCCCTCGGATTTATCTAGGTTTCCCTGAAAATCATTGGATCTCATCAGATTTCCTTAGATTGCTTCGGATTGTTAATTTTGGATTGTACAGAGGAATCCAAATATCACTGACGTCTAAATGTACACGAAAGGGAAGCGTGAAAAGCTTGAAATATGTATGTTAGAAAGAGTGCGTCGACTGCAACTAATCTAGCGTAAGTATTGCAGGGTCATCGCGCTTTTCTCTCTCATACACGTAGCAACGACAGTGGTATGAGGTTTTTGTCTGTAGACATATTAGATTAATTCTAGAAAAGATAAAATGACTGTTGGAATGTTACACAGTATGTTACCGTCTAACGGATTCAGACTAGGTAAGAGAAGCTAGTCTGTAGTGAAAATCAAAGTGCACTTGACAGTTCGGTCATTAACTTCCTGAGTGTAATTTTTTTATAATGCAAGTGTTTGCAGGTAATTATGATGTTAGACGGTTCCAAAGCGTGCTACTTCTTAAATAATTTGCAAAGAGCAGCACAAGCCTAATGAAGGTAGATGTTTCCACCGGTATTATTATCTACTATGTTGATACAACGTTGTCGCTTTGGCAGCCATTGATAGACAAATGAGCCAAAAGTATGTACTAAGAAGTACTAAAGTTGCGCAATTTTAGCGACAAACGATGGAATATAAACACATAGGCTTGGCTTCTTCAAATCTATTCGAGTTTGTTGTTACCACCAGTATCATACAGCCAGTCATCATGAATCGAAAACTTACTTGATGATACAGGTAGGAATTCGACCTGCAACTTCACCAGGTGACACAGCGGCAGGCTATTATGTAAAAAACCTAAAAAAGGTCAAAACAAAAACCGACGAAATGTCATCTTGCAGACCAGGTAGTTGTTGATGTGCAAATAGCTCATTCCAAGTCTGCTTGCTACGATCGCTGTTCGCTAACGTTTAAGCAACACGTACAGCTACAAAACGATTTCACAACAAGAAGTTAAAAATCTTGCAGAAAGACCTATGAAATGTCAAAAAAAAAACTACGAAATGCCAAAAAAACCGACGAAATGTCACTTTTAAAGATACGTAATACCCGCGCCGGTCTGCTATTTACACTACTGTCTCAGCTGCACAATGATCGTAACATACTGGATATGTATGATTATGACCCTGGCGGATATGGTATATTTCCAGGCAACCAAGGAGCACTGACGATATACCAATGTATTGCAAAAATCAAGGTTTTTATTATTTTAGCTGTATATTTATATTTTATCAAGATAGAAATGAGGTATGATAGCATTGATAGCTTCAAATGGTGAGCAGCTAAATATCTCATTATTTGACGGATTTAGCGAAACAGCTGTTGTGAAAGATGGTGCGTGTGAGTATACCTGCTGATCCCACCAGCTGAGCTATTTTAGTAGCTATCATGTTATTACTGAAGCCTAAATCCAGCAGTAACCATTCCAGAAGACCAGTACACTACAAAGGGTTAAGATAAGACGATATCACTTTCCCTCATATCTCCACGGTTGCTGACGACGTGTAATATCAAAATAAATTACATGTTCTGGATTTTCAGTTGTGAATGAAATATGTTCAGTTAAAGATCAATTATGTGAAACTTACTTTGACGTAGGCCGCTGTATGTGGCAAGCCAGGACTTGTTCCGGTAGGCCTTAGGAAAAGCGCGTAGTGCCCTGCTAGGCCAAACAGTTCACAACGTAGGTTCACCACTCTTCGGCCTGGAAAACCCCGAACTTGTTCGGAATACAAAATCTGCAACAAAGGAAAAATATGTTGTCATCGTAGATTTCATAGCTAGTTGTAAAAAGATTGACTTCTACGACCAACCACCGACGGCTCCAGGTTCGACACCGTCAGAATTCTTGAAGAATTTCGTTTGCATTACTAAACGTACAGCTACTACGAAAGTCATTAGTCAAGCAGAATCACCTGATACCTCCCATGAATGAACCTATTTGTTTAGTGTTTGTAGCAAATTACGCATGAATAATAAATAATATCATAATAGTATTTATTCAGAATGCTCACAAATAACATTGGGGTAAATATAAATCATCCCAGAGAAATCAACACAAGTTCCTTGTGCATGGGCCACGTGACTTTGCAATAAATCAAGTTTTTATACCTTGCACAACAAAAAATTTAATAACGAATTGATATAACAATATAGGTGAAAGCTTTTTGTACATATTGTGTAGGTCATTTGCAACTTATACATGATTGCAGTTAAATGTTTGACTTCACCAGCGACCCCTTCATAGTCGCAAGGTTACTGTTTGGTGCGGAGTGTCGCGATTCGGCATAATTGGACCCTATCTTTTGAGGACGATGCTGGAAGTTCTGTCACGGTCAATTCGCAACGTTATCTGGAAATGTTAAACACATTTTTGGAACCAGAGCTTCGTCGACGGAACATAGATTTAAATACTGTATGGTTTCAGCAAGATGGCGCCACAGCGCATACTGCACGAGCATCAATGGTTCGACTGCGAGAAATGTTTCCAGGAAGAGTCATTTCGCGGAATGGAGATGTTCTTTGGCCGGCAAGGTCTCCCGATCTCACGGCTTGTGACTATTGGTTATGGGGTTATCCCAAAAGCAAGGTATATTTAACGAGCCCAAGGACCATTGAAGAATTGAAGGAAAACATTCGCAATGAAATTAGCGCGATTCCGATGAGTATGGTACAGCGCGTAATGGGGAATGTGCGAAACCGTTTGGAAGAGTGTGTCCGCAGTGAAGGACATCATTTGACCGAAGTTATTTTCCATACATAAAATGGCATGTAATACACTTTCGATTACTTATATATGAAAATAAATATCTTGAAAGATACATTTGTAGTTTCATATTGAAACTCATCAGGTTCCTTTGACGGACCGTATATTTCGATTTTGAGTTTGAACTTGAGGAAGAGTTTCTTTTAAAGTCATTGTTTTCGAGGTTATTGTATTGATCAGATATTTGACCTCAACTGTGACGTCAGATCTAAAAATACTTTAGAGGTGGAGAACTCATCCGAACGTGAAATCTTCCAATATAGTGGATACCAAATAAAATCCGATGCACGTCATAGGTGATGTCATTCATAAAAATCATGGTTACCAACAGTTGACTACATTCAATGTGACATTTCTACTTGAAGTTTAAATTTCCCCGTCTCGATTCGGTTGGTAGTGCCGTGCAGAGAAATGTGAGGTTGCCACTTCTCATTTGTTGACATCAGTTGCCATTGTCCTTTTGTCGTACTATTAGTTCTTTATTGTTTAGTTTGTGAGTTTTGCGCTATTTGAGCTTTGAATCGTTGCCTTGCCAATTAAAAGTTGTTCTTTTCAGAACAAAAGTTACTGTGAAGTGGTATAAAGTATCCAAAATGCCAAAACAACTTAACAGTCGGTGTAAAGAGCTCATATCAATTCTGGCAACAGCGCACAGCTCCAGATCGATGACGTGCATCGGGTTTTATTTGGTATCCACTATATATGCATGTACTTCCAATGGCAAAAATATAAGATCCCTGATATGATCTCACTAATAGGTGTGTAGAATTACTAAGGTTTGGAGCGTATTATACTAGCAGCACAACATTGAGATATACCCTCCGCACGACCTACAAATCCCGTCAACGAATTTTTTACCTCTAATTTTTTTTTAAAAATGATCGGGAACCTCTAAAAAGTCAAAAATGAATTTTGAGCGGCTAGTAGTAACGTTGTGTACAAATTGCATCAGAATCCGAGTGGTACTTCTCAAGTTATAGGAGGTTATAGGTTAAGCGGACAGACAGATAGGCAAACAGACAGAAATTTACACAGACAGACAGATAGAGAGGCAGACGGAAATAAATGAAATGGAAAACCATGATGTCATATAACACCCAAAACACATAATATCTTATTTTCGAAAATTTTGGCGACAAAAACACTTCTGCGCTAGTACGCATAGGAAGTGAAAATGGGCTTTACCTTGAAGTGGTTTTGAAGATCAAGGTCAAGGGCAAATCCAATGTCACCATCAGATATCCGGTACAAAATCCCGTACCTAAGACCAAATAGGATTTGTTTTGGGCTTATGGTTGTCGTTCTGGTCTTTTTTGAACAACGTAAATTTCATGCGCGCACAGTAGCTGGGGATTACCATTGAAAACACAACATTTTCCTATTAGCTCACTATTTGAATTTAACTCCCTTGGAAAGTTTTACGGTGTTGCTGTATGTAACCTTAATTCCCGAAACGATGAGTTCCGGGATGCGGTCATTACCGGACATAACTTTTCGGAGGCTGCCTCATCAGAACTGTGATTAAGGCCTTTACATATGCGGGGATGTGTTTTAAATTGTTCATTACCGCTACAAAGTGCACTTCAAAGGGTCGCTGTGGGCTTACTGGCACACCCTTTTATTCTTTTCTTCCCGTGCTTCCTGTGCTAAAAAACGTAGGAAGAGGGTGCATTTAGTGAACAATCACGCAAAATATACTCAATTATATATATATATATATATATATATATATATATATATATATATATATATATATATATGTATATATATATATAACAAAAAGTAGGAAAATAATGGGCAAAAGAAATATTTTTGTAGATCCTTTGGGCTTTAAGTACCACAGCAAGTGGCTATAACCGGCCGCGTGGTTGTGGTTTGATGTCTCCTTGAAAATTCGAGGACTTTTATACTACATTGTGTAGTTTTTTCCTCTCCATCTTCGTTTCCTCAGGCTACACCCGTATCCGGATGTGTGGGCATGTGTATCCACTTTTGTAGTTTCATATGTGCATTCATTTCGGGCCTGATGAAGCCAACCAGCAGAAGTACACGTATCGCTCGAGATACCTATCCTATTTTCTGCTCGAATCCACTTTCCTCCTTTTTGCGGATTTTGCCCATTATTTTCCTACTTTTTGTTATATACCTTTCTCCGCACGATCATTTTCCTTTTTTTCATATATACAGGGTGTAAACGTTATGATAGTCGTTATTTAAATTGCTGATAGAGGGGGTTAAATGAGGCAAAAAGTTTCATATAACATGGGGGTCAAAACGGCATTTCCTTAGAGAAAGCGTCTTTAAAGTAAAATAAATCTGACAACGCCGCAGAACTATGCAAAAGGATAACTAATCACTGTTACAATTTGCGATCGATTGCCGGTTCAATAAGAGTGATGATGACCGATGCGCTGTTGTGAAGTGTGTTTTAAGTATTCAATTTAATGAAACTTACTTTCTTACCGACTACAAATTTTGGCTTAACTTAGAAAAACCCAATTCCATTTATTTGTTAATTACAAAATTTGAAAACGTTTTACATTCGATTATAAAAATTAGTGAGATTGTGGTCATTGTGGTCAAAACACTAAAAGTTGTAAACTGTAAAGCCATTTAGACAAAAATCTATTGACTTTTGGACTATGGGTCATATTAACTTTTTGACTTGTGTTGACCCTCCCTATTACCCATTTCAATAATGACTACCATTACGTTTACGTATATACTCAAATACTCGCGGGGTAAAATTAGAGCTCAAGGTGGTGATAGCACAAAAAATAGTTTAATGTTTAAAAATAGAGATATGGTATATTAACTGTACTACTTTACTGGGTGACGCAATTACAGGGATTGTTGAGTAATATCAAATACATAAAATTACCTTGCCGCTCCAATGCTTCAAAAGCCCGTGGGCTGAGCAGGGCGTTGAAAACATATTGAGATCGCACGCTTTCCCACCCTGACATAGATGTTTATAAAATTGGGCTTAAAAAGTTAGTCACTGCTCGAAAAAAGTTCTAAACTCTGAATACAAACGATTATAAAATACTTGTAGTATATCGTAGATAGTTATAACCAATTAATTGTCTGCTGTTGATCCAGGACTATACAAATTTTATTTTTGTTCAACTGTCGAACTATTTGGTCAAATTATTTAAAAGCTTACAACGGATGGTCTCCACATGGAATGCATGCTTTTTAAATTTTTGAAATTGTGTTTCGGAGATATACTGCACCTGCACTGTGCCGCAGTACGGTACCAAAGGTCAATCGTGAACACCCTATTCAGGGTGATTCGATGAGCAGTGGCAATATTTCTAGCAGATAAAATAAAATGGTCCTTTATCGAGTTATTTTAATTTTTTATGCCACTGATGACACTGCACAAGGACAGATGAATATTGTACAAATAGTACTATGATGTCATATCCTCCTTATACTCATATATTGCATATAATTTTCAATATCACTGTATTTGAGAGAGAAAGGTATTGGAGTGCTTTAAAGGAATTTTATCTCGCAAAATTAAATGCCTTATTCAAAAGGCGTTGATGTTAAAAGGAATGAGTGACGCAGATAATGATGTTCTTTTTTTTTTCTTTTGCATAGATCAGTAGATGTGCCAATTTCGAGAAAACTGGTGTAGCCTGGACCATGAAAACCTTTGTGTCTATTGATCACAGTATCGTATCCAGATAAGGAAGCATTTTGTGATCCATACTTATATGAACTTTCCCTTTTGCTTTTGGACTTATTTTCTTTCCTAGAAATACTGCTAGAGTTTCCATAATTATCTATTTCGTAAGCCACCTTTAAGTTTTTGAAACTAAAAGAAACCCTGTGCTCTGTCGACATCCAATCCGTACGAGTTTCAAGAAATGGAAGTGTTCACTTCACACATCCATATTTTTCAAAATGATATTTACAGTAGATGAGATCAGTTCGGCACACAGCTAAACAGTATCATATTAATATATATATATATATATATATATATATATATATATATATATATATATATATATAAAGACTATATTTGACAGCTACTGAAACTTCTTGTAGGAACTAGCTGGTATTATAAAATCTAAATCAGATTTTGAGCATGAAGCTTAAAGAATGCGTACTTGAAGAAATCAATGTAAATTGAATAGTTAGAGCAGAAAACACAACTATTATAAATCATACCGGGTATTTCCCGTTTGTCGATATTAATATAAAGGTGAAAAAGAACGGTAAAGCTTTACAGGTTTTGAAAATCGATCCAATGGCGGTAGAGCTACTTTGTAAAGAACTGAAGAAATACAAATCGCTGAAGCTTCGTTTTCTAGGTTTAACAAAGTTCTGCTAATTTTTTGATTTTTTTGTGGGGTGAAATATTAGAGACGGGGGTTTGCAGGAGGCGGGTGAGAGTAAACCTCAATTTTTGGCCTTGATATAATTATATGCGCTCCTATTAGACATATGTTATTTCACACAGATATTTCCTCGTATATTTGAATGTAAACCAGTTGCTAGCTAGACGAAGCCACTGGCGGATTACTAATCGCAACTCTGCACGCAGCGTTGTCGGATAGTCATAGAGCAGAGGAGAAATCTTCAGACCACAACGTTGACAAAAGAGTAGGGATCGAAGAAGAGTCCATTTGACTAACTTGATCCGTTTATTTCCTTTAGTATACATGTTCGTAGTAAGCTTAGTTCGAGAGGAGTTAACCTGTGCCGAAAATTTTTTATTAGCAAAAGTTTTTTACACCTGCCAATGGTACTTTGCTATATTGTTCTAAAATGAGTTTTTTGGTGGTGACCTAGCAAGAAAATAGAAAATACAAAACTTCGGTTTTCAAGTTGTTTGAGTTTTCAAAATCTCCAACCGCAATCTTTGAATGTTCTGATTATTTTGAAATGCCGTCAAAAATTTTCCTCTGACATTTTTTTAATTGCAAATCTCAGAAGACATGGGTACTCATAGTATCTCTGAGTACAATTCGAACAAATAATCAGTGCGACACGAACGTAATTTCGATCCGAAATATCTCAGGAACATTTTCTGTTAAAAAATCGCATCTTTGGAAAAGATCGGGAGGTGCCCTTAGAATATATTCAAGACTTGTTTTTGCTTGAAATATTAATTTAAGGAGAGGACCATTTTTCAGACATAGATCAGACATATAATTGATGCGGCCCTCCAGTTTCTTCGGATTCTTGGGATTGATGCGGTCTTCCAACAGCCACTACCTCAATATTTGGAGTGATAAAAGGAATAGTATTCTCGAAAATTCCTATTACTTCGTCCACAAAACTTACCTGATTTGTACTATTCTTTCCACCAGCAACATCACACGTCAGCAATGACTGGCCACAGTAGTGCAATTCCAACCAAAACTCCGGGATGGCTGCTGCGGGACTTCCGGCCGCAGGTGGACACACGACTTCGGGAAACTCCAAAATTGCGGCCACCGGTCTCTCGGGGTAAGTTTCGATGTGTTCTGGAGTCAATGAAAGTTGAGGCATTGGCCATCGGACGTCCAGGCTGCGAGTGATCATCTCTTCTGAGGAGGAGTCGTTTGGGTCGATAGTAGGTGTAGAGTTTATTGAACCTGTAATGAAAAATGGCATAAAATAGGTTGACTCTACACTTTCCAGGCAACGCTGTTATCAGTAAAACATGATGCTCGGCGCAGTCAGCCCCTGGTAGAAAAAAATAAATTTGGATTCTGCAATATTGCTACATGTCATTTTAAATCAAAAATTTACAGGAAAGTTTATATCTGAAATATGTACAATAGGTGCGTAAAACTACCAGGGAGTATAAATATCCTAATATCTAGAACTGAGAATATACCCTACCCATGTCATGGGACTTCCACTTCTAATTTTTTACCACGTAGTAAAGTTTACTAAAGTGAACAGGGATTTCAAAATCTCAAAGAAACGAAGTTTAAGCGATTTTTTTCTTTGTTTTTTGCATGTAATCTCGCCAACACTGGACTGTTTTTCAAAACGACTCCGTTCTTGACATAGTAATAATCAAGTGTGAAAATTGCAGTGGACAGACCGCTAGACGAAAAGACAGGCAGGTAGACCGACTGAAATGCGTGACATGGTTTTTCATGATGTCATAAAAACAAAATATCTCATCTCCGAAATTATACATCCTCGCCAGATTACTTTACGTTAAGCCTAAGAACGAGGAACCACAAATACATAATACGAGTTGCGAAGTGGAATGGTACTAAGAAAATCCTTTTCTGGTAATCATTATCTTTAACCTTCGAGTAAAGAGGCGGCCAATCCGTCTAGCAGCCTTTGTATGTAGCAGCATCACCACGGAAAAGAACCTTAGATCGCCTGTCGAGGAAGTCTTGTCGATCAGCCGGATCATACTTCTCTAAGCCCACGAGTACAGCTATATGACTAATAATCCGGGACCATTTGTACAGAGCAAAGAAGGCTAGATGGTGAAAGTTTTCTATTTTTTAACGAATACTCAAACTCTTTCTCTGCAGCTGCTGGGCTGACAAGACACAGAAGTGTGACTTCAATAATTTGAACAATCTAGAACGAATGTCTTGCCGGCAAATGTCGGCCATCTAACAAAATTGGCTGTGAGCCCGTAATAGTTGAGATATAATACGGTTTATTATAAATGCACCACTGGACCCGGACAGAGATAGCTTCCAAGGCTTTGTCAGAAACGAAGGCGCTATTCCATTTAGTTCTCAGCAGGGCTATGTTCGTGCATTGTTACAAATTGTACCTTGTACTACTCTGTAACAATTTTAGCTTTCATAATTGTTTGATTTACCTGTTCCATGCGTTCGGAAATAGAACTTAATCGTTCTGGAGCTTCAAAAGTGCCCTTTTCTTCCCGTGCACAAAGCCTTGGAAATAAAAGTGTTGCCCGTTGTCATTCATGTCGAGCTACCTCATATCCATAGGGTTTCTTATAAATAATTACAATGGTCGCAGAAAACGTGATTAGAAGTTAGTCGACCATCATCGAGTGTCACTAAATGACTCTGTGATAATTTAGGCGTTCTGAAAATAAAGTTTCACAGTATTCCAGAGTAAAATTTCATCAGTCAATCTACACTATGGACGGTATTACATTACAGTACAACCTAGTGCAACCATTGTACCTTACCGAGAGCTGCATGTGTCGTTCCCTCATTCTATCTGCCAAGCTTTTCGCTAGAGAAAAAGTCGTGGTTTAATCTGCTTCCCCCAGCAGGTCAGTTCTTAGAAATGAGAAGGTAGAATGGCTAGTGGAAAATGAGTGTGGTCCAGTTACTCAGGGAACTGTGTCATTCTACGTTTGTTTCATAGGAAAGACGCCACCGCGTCACTATCTTCCTTATTAGCAGGAAAAATGGTGTGAGAGCCTCGTCATCCTTCATAAGTATTATATTTAAAGTCGAACTATATTTTGTAATAAAACATTTACATAATGTACTCTGAAGCTTCAGATAAAGCTAATTAGAAGCTTTCACTTTCTAAGATCCATTATATTGGGCTTGAAATGATCATGCTTACCCTAGGCTGTTGCTCAAATGTTCTCCTTTTTGTTACTTTTTTGGTATATCTATAGTAGTGTTGGTATTTTTACGGTTTTTGGCTGTTATTTATATATACAGGGTTATCCAAATTAAGTGTCCACCATTAGTAACTTTGTTATTAGTGAAAATACAAAGTTGTTTGAATTAGCAAACTAGTAGCATTTTTAACGCTGGTAAAAATGAGAAATAAAAAAAAACAATTGAGAGTCGTTATTTTGATTTTTTTCAGTAAAATAACATTTTTTTAAATGGAAACCCCTGTATATTATATTTTGTTCTGTTAAAGCATCAAATTTTAAACAAAAAAGCTTACAATAACTTTTCTCCTAGGTTACAAATTGTTGAAGTTATGGCCTCCAATCTGAAACAATTAAATTGTATAGACAAACTTTATTTTCAACATCAACTTATAATCTTACAAAATACAATAACAATTTTTTTAAAGAAGTTGCTCGAAAACACCACCTTGTTCTTCAATACATTTTTGGGCACGTTTTTCAACTGCTCGATCTGTCTTAAGTATGGTCCTACCATCTATCTGGGTTATCTTTTCCCTAACTGCAGTCTTTAACGCGTCAAGGTTATCGTACCTTCGCTTGTAAATTTGGTTCTTTAAGTAACCCCACAAGAAGTAATCAAGTGGGTTTAGATCTGGTGATCTGGGAGGCCACTGTATTGGGCCATTTGTTCATATCCACTGATCATTAAAAGTAGTACTTAGAAAATGATAAGTACCTCTGGAGTTGTGGGCAGGTGCGCCATCTTGCTGAAAATGCAGATGATGTCTACTTATAAGATCCAATTCGTCTAAGAAATTAGTCAGAATTTCTGACATAAATTCCACATATCTTTCACCAGTTAGGGTTCCCTCATAAAAGAACGGGCCAACAATTTTTGAACCAATTATACCGCACCAAACGTTGAAACTGAAACGGACTTGTGGGCCTCTTGGATGTACTAACAAAAGATTTTCTCTTGACCAATAATGGTGGTTTTTTCTATTAAACATTCCAGAATTTGAAAAATTTGATTCATCTGTCCATAAAAGGTAACGAAAGTTATTTACATTTTGGCGACAGAAGCTAAGATACCAATGGCAAAAAACAAGTCTTCTCTCTGGATCCCCTGCCAAAAGCGTTTGAACTGGTCGGTACTTACACGGAATAAATTTGTATTTTTTTAAAATCCTTTGAACAGTACCATAACTGAAATTAGAGTCCTTGAGAATATCTGCTATTGAATTCTCACGATAAGCTTCAAAATATCCAATAACTGCAATTTCCGTGGCCTCGCTTATTATGAATTCTTTTTTTGCCCTTGTTTTAGCAAAAACATTTTCGTTGCCCCTAAATTTTCGATAAAGTCTCAGAAAATATCGTTCATACGGTTGAATGCGAGCGGGATATAATTCACTGTAGTATTCTCTTGCTCTCAAGGAGGATTTTCTGCACACTAAATAGCATTCTAACATATCACACTTTTCTTCATGGGAGAACATTTTTCTTTAAATTAATGACACAATAAAGCTTATATACAAGTATTTACACTAATGTTTGACATTATTTGATTTTATCATTGTTTTCCAAAGCCTTCTAGTTGCGAGTATGTCCAGTTTAACAATTTGTCGCTTATCTTAATGCTGTCAAATCGCGAACGCCATGTTGTTTTCATAGCCGTCTTAATATTATAATACTGCAAATAATTAAAAATATTTATCGTTATTTTGACTTTATTTTTGACTTTAGCGGAAAAGTCATTATGAACTTTTTTGTTTAAAATTTGATGCTTTAACAGAAAAAAATATAATATACAGGGGTTTCCATTTAAAAAAATGTTATTTTACTGAAAAAAATCAAAATAACGACTCTCAATTGTTTTTTTTTATTTCTCATTTTTACCAGCGTTAAAAATGCTACTGTTTGCTAATTCAAACAACTTTGTATTTTCACTAATAACAAAGTTACTAATGGTGGACACTTAATTTGGATAACCCTGTATATATATATATATATATATCGTGCGAAATAGGTAACGAGGAACACAAACTGTACCACGTGCAAACTCGTCTAGGCGAACCAATTTCAAATCTTCTTTTGCATTTGAATCGATTAATAAAAGACCAATCAGTTTGAATTTTGTCCACAAGTTGTATTTTGAGGGTTTGCTATATTTCAAAGTACGAATAGCTATAAGCAAAATTGCACGCCTGTTGCAAGTAGGTTGTCACACTGGCCCACTGATTGTGAAAAGCATAAATAGGGAATCACCCACAGGGTGGTAGTGGCGAGAAAATTTGCGAGACGACGAGATGAAACTAAGGAACGTACGTCTTTGAGCTCATGCAAAATGCATATGTACGTATGAAAAAGATGAATGTGTGAAAAAGATGATAATACCGGTACCTTTACAGTGGCCTACCAAAAACCGTGAAGTAGAAAAAGAGCTATAGTATATATATATATATATTTAGTTTAGTTCATACGATGTCGTTAGTTGTTAATCTATTTAATGATGCTTTCATAACATCCTCCTTCAGATGTATCGATAAAAGTAGTTCAGTGCGAAAGTAGTTTAAAGGGTTGGCATAGACACCCATGCTACGTTTTGCTTGTACAGTCTTACCATTCTTTGCATAAAATAAAATTTGCTACAAGAAATGTATTTTACGTCTTTTCGACACCTTGACGATTCTTGGAGTATAACGAGTGAAGGTTGGAAATGTGTATCAAAACAGCCAAGCTTCGCTCCTGTTATCCTTCTCATGTACTCCTTTACGACAAACTAACTTACCTGTATCTTCCAAATAACACGATTAACGATTTGACGTATTTGAAACAATGCTCATTAATACATGGTATACAGGCGTAAGAACACATACGTCGCTCAGTGATATATGCCGAGTCCCGAATAGATTTTGAAGTTTGTGCCGTATCTACAAATCAGCTTTATTAGCATTGCGGCTGCATGATACATAATCTCAAAATATTGGTTTACACTTGGTTGTATTGTTTTGATGTTTGTGTTGATCTGTGAGTAAATAAGTGTTTTTTTAAATGGATGTACTTGTATTGTGGAGCACGAAAAACGTTCGAGAGACTTGAAGACACATAAAAGTAAGTGAATTAGGCTTAGACCTACAGTGAAAGTCCTGTATGAAAACCAGTTACATACGGACAAGGTTATAGCGACAGAAAAGCTAAATGAATCATACGTATCTGAGGACGAGATACCACGGTCGAGGTATAAAGACAAGTACTGTGATGCACATGAATCCGAATCCGATGTTGGCAGACCAGTGGCTCGTTTCAGAGATTAACTGCAAATACCAAATAAATACAACGACGATGCCATATCATATCAAGTGAATTTCATTTTACCACAAAATGGTGACGAGATAGGTGGGAATGAAGATGCAGAATACGACTCTGATGCTGATCCTCCTTTTGGCATGTGCAAAGTAAAGTTATGTAAAGAGGAAATATTTTCTGACTGTCCTCGATGTGAAATCTTAATTTGCTTTTCACACCTACGATATAACAAGTTGTCATGATCACGGAAAGCCAAAGGATACTAGCAGTTGCTACACTGCTATTACCAGAATGCTTCGAGCTAGACGGGCCAGGAAGCGAGGAAGCTATAGCGAGAAGAATTAGAACAAATAAAAAGAAAATTGCAAAGCTACGAAGGAGTCTTCAAATGTATAATGACCTCGTGGCATTGTGCAGTGGATGCTAACTCTATAGTTAAAGAGACCTAATTTAAAACTTATTGTAGGAACCTACATGATGGTGAAAAATAAATTTTTATTTCATTACATTAACCCAGCACCGTTAAAGATGTTTTAGTTTACTGATTTCTGATTGTCAGATCCGATTCATTAGAAAAACTACCTTGCATGCAATGAGTACCCTTAATTAAATCGTGAACCCTGTATTTTGTCCTCCATCTATACCATTGATTCCCAAAGTGGTCTATATCGACCCCTAGGGGTCTATGACAACCTGCAAGGGGCCTACGTCAGCGAAAAAAAATTTGGGGGTCCATGAAATGAATATGGGGGTCCACGATAGTGGATCTCAACACATACACTGATAGTACCTATTTACTTCCATCATATTATCTTATAATATCAAAACATATACAATATTTATAAAAGTACCTATGAAGTAAAAAATTTATTATATATGTTTATAAAATTGTATAAGTTGTAGTATGTTGGTATTAGCTTTGTGGTCGCAATACATTTTGAACTTGTAAAAACCTGAGAGTCGCAATCTCAGAGCTTCGCTACCTTGCACTGACTTGTTCAATTCGTCACTCTATAAATACGAATGTGGGACAAATACTTTTATTCGTTTCCTGAATCTTGAAAAGGAAAGTGCTAAGAAAATATTTTAAAAAATATAAACAGATAGTATATCATACAAATTATAGTGAGTCAGTGTTATTTTGTTTGAGAGTGCTGGAGGAAAGTACATTATTTTTTATAAAATTTTAGTTTTCTACTCGTAGTTAGCAAAGATAGATAAATTACGCCAATCATGACTTTAGTTATTAGTAGTTAAATATTCAAGCATGCAAAATTACACGAGTACCCCTCAATAGTTTCTTTTTGAAAGTTTTAGCAATCGGTAATATAATGACAGTGCAATCTCCGTAATTCGAGCTATTTGTTGCAAGAAGATGTTCGAATTATGGAATGTTTTCGGAAAAATCAAAAAATATTTTTAATATACAGCTGCTGGATTTTCTGTCTTATTTAAATAATTTAATTTTGTCCACATATGACTGATGCCATGTCCGAATCTAAAAAGAGATGTAGACAGTACAGTGTTGATTATTTGAAATTTGGCTTCATTCCATCATTGCCGGACAAACAATCGCCTATGTGCCTTTTATGCAACAAAGTTTTGAGCAATGACGCTATGAAACCATCTAAACTGCAAGATCATCTGGGAAGATGCCACCCTGATAAAACAGAGAAAGATTTGAAATACTTTCAAACACTCAAAGATAAATTTCAGAAGAGACCTACACTGGACAGAATGTTCGCTTCGACGTCACAAAGAAATGATGATGGTTTGCGGGCGTCTGACAAAACAGCCGTTGAAGATGTTTTAAAAACTGTTTTACACAAACCTGCATCTGATATCATTAAAAGAATTCCCTTAAGCAACAATACTTTTGACAGACGTATTGATGAAATGAGTTCTGATATTGAAACCTTCTTATGTAATTATGTGCAAACGACCCATTTCTCTACACAACTGGACGAGTCAACTTTACCTGATAATGCAGCATTATTATTGGCATATGTTCGTTTTATTATGAATCAAGAAATCAACGAAGAACTGCTCTTCGCAAGAACTTTGATAACCGACACTAAAGGTGAATCAATATTTCATTGAAAAAGCAATTCCTTTATCAAATATAATAACAGTAGCTACAGATGGAGCACCGCCATGGTTGGACGTTATCGTGGATTTATAAGCTATTTAAAACAAAATGTGTCAGGGGTGTTAGCAATACATTGCGTCATCCATCGACAACATTTAGTTGCTAAAAATTTGAGTGTTGATTGCATGAATCACTTCATTTAGTCATTGATGCAGTAAACCGAATCCGAAGCAACGCGTTGAATACGCGGTTATTTGCGCAGTTGTGTGAAGAAAATGACGAACACTTTCATCAATTACTCCTTCACACTGAAGTACGCTGGCTGTCGAGAGGCTTATGTTTGACAAAATTTTTTGCACTTTTTGAGACTATTTTAGAATTTCTGGATAATATTTTAAAATAAAATTTAATGAAGAGGAAAACAGACATCGCCTATTTAACAGACTTGTTTACAAAATTTAATATGGTTAATTTGCAATTACAAGGCGACAGTTTAAATTTGATTTAAACAAAGTCTATCTTATCAGCGTTTCTTGCCAGAGTTAAACTAATGAAGTAAAATATTGGAATTTTCTCAGTTCCCCAATTTGTCACAGACAAGCTGCCAGGAAGACGACGTTTCAACTTACGTTCAACATTTAAATGCCCTCTATTCAGATTTTGAATCTAGGTTTGAGGATATTTTGACTATGGTAATGTCACCGTGGATAATTAATCCAGATGGTTACATAGAAGAAACGAATGTCATAATACAAGAGGAACTGACTGAACCAAGTACAAACGAAGAACTTAAGGTTCAGTTTAAAAAGGGATATCAGCAATTCTGTCTGCAAAACAACATACCTGTTACTTATCCCGTATTATGGAATATATCGAGGAAATTTTTAATTTCTTTTCCATCGTCATACCTAGTGGAAAGGGGATTTAGTACTGTTACCAATCTCCTAACGAAAAAAGAAACAGACTGGACAGGAGATTTAAGATTAACCCTTACAAAATTGACGCCAAATGTTGATAATTTATCATTAAAGCATCAGGTTCATCCTTCACACTAAAAATATTGACTTATTGCTTATGTTATTTTATTTATAGTTTATTTTATGTTTATTGGTGTCTGACCAATAAATGCCCGCATTGGGAATAAGTGGCCGCATTGATTTTTTCAAAGAACTCCCCTTTATAGAAAATATATTTTTTTTAATTATTCTGAAAATTCAAGGATAGGTACACACTAAAATTCGTTAATTTTTTGCCTATTTTTAGATAACTTAAACGTATAAGAAGCGGAATTTAATCAAACTAACAGTGAAATTGTTGTAGAACATACGTTTATGTTATAATTAATAAACGAACTCGCTTATTGTACTATTTTAAGTAAAAAACTTTTTTTTAATTATTTTTTACTTTTTTCTTATTTTATGCCTCTTATTTTTTTTTTTCAATGCAGGCACTTATTCCCAATGCGGGCACTTATTGGTCAGACACCTGTTTATTTAATGCTACGTATATTTCACATAACAGATACAGAATTTTATTTTGAGTAGTTTTAATTAAAATTCAATTAATAAATGTATAAATTAACAAGTGTTTTTACTTTAAGTTTTTAACACTAACCTTCAATACAGTTAGAAATTTGTAGGAAATCAATAACAGGTAAGTAGGGGGTCTACCCAACACGGAAAAACATGGCAAGGGGTCTACGACACAAACAAGTTTGGGGAACTCTGATCTATACCTATTTTCCTATATGAAGTTGCATTTTCTTCCTTGGTTAATGGCCTATCTAATAATTCTTCGTAAACAATATATGACAAAATGACTTAACTGACTTATTTGTAAAAAAATATAAGCCGGATAGCTGTTTTACATCAATGCTACAGCTAAATTATCTTGGGACGTTTTAGTTTTTTTGCCCTCCTGTGAAATTTATAAATTGTTGGAGACGCCGGTATGTCATAAAGAGAACATTTATTATTTGCACTCACACTTAATTGATGAATATTAAAACAAAAAGGCTGTATAAGTTAGAAGTCAACGTCCTTTATATATTTTTTATTTTATTGCCTCACATCCAAAAATTTGCCTTCTATCCACGATGCAAAACGAGACAATTCCCATGTTGCTAATAGCGCTTCTAAACGCCATATTTTTCTAGTTCTACCATACTTTTTGACATTTCATTCACTGCTGTCAGATTGCCAAATTATTGGAATCCTGCTTAGTGTTGTATAATTAAAGGCAGAAAGTAGATAAAGGTGTAATGCAAAAAAATTATTGTATGGAGCAAATTGGATTTTGAATATTTAGTTTGATCAGTTTGTTATTATCGTGTTTTTGCAACAAAGAAATCACAGATTGAAAAATCCGCTCCTTAAGGTTGGTTTATTGCAAAATTGATTTGAAAAAAAATATTTGACGCCTTTATCCTCTAGTGTCTTCAATTATGTTCTTAGCTATTCTAATGAGAAACTCTGACTAGGTGAATGTGTACACATTGTGGACAGTATCTCAAAGAAATAGTCGACATACAGCTGATATATCCTAGATATATGGCCGGGCTACAAACATTTCCTGTTTAAGGGCTACGTAAGGGCAGTCGAAATCCAATCCTGCTTCACCATTACAAGCTAGCATCATATCTTAGTTACATTTAGTGCATGCTCCTTTCGATCCTGCTCCTTTGTAGAGATAATCTGTCAATCCGGAATTCAGCCAGAGGGAACTTCTCCGCAATAAACGGAATCAATCACGCGCCAATTTGGGGCGAAATCGTCAGACTAAGCGACACGAAATTGCAGGCAATCAGAGATGGATGTACTATATAGCTAAGCGACGTTCATCATGTCTGCGTTTTCAACAAATTCATTCCAGAGATACCTGCTGAAACTTTGTTGCCAACTGATCGTGTATCCGTCTATCAGGGTGTATATTCCCGGCATAATACGTTAATCAGGTAGCGTCTTGCATCGAATATATCATATAATTGAATATGAAGCTGCATTAAAGGTGAAGGTAGGGAAGGCAGCGGGTCTGGATCAAATACCGTATGAGGTAGCGAATATATTGGTCCAGGAAATAATGTAGTTTGTATCCCCAGAGAGTACAGAACCTAAAGATGATCAACAGAGAAGATAGGGCACGACGAGCCATGAAACGTGAACTAGGAAACTGATCCCAGGCAATATGACGAGACAGCAGTTACTGTACTTGACACTTCCTTGAGACGCCGTCACCGGCGCCTGGTTGCTCCAAAAGCAGGTAGTAAGGAGACAATACGGAATTGCTCATATTGTTTTGTCGAGGACATGTTTGAGCATCTAAGGCTCCGCGAGAGGATCACTGCTGACAATTTTGCTAGGCATGTAAGCGAGGACAAATGTCTTGTTTTCCCTCCCTAAAAACCTATGTATAATGTGATATTGGGTTCCTATATTGTGTTTCAGAAAAATCTGCTATAGATTAGGATGTCCAAAAACCGAGAAAACGGAAAGGATGCTTAATATATTTTCGTTTTTGTATCAATAACTATAGCGTCAATTGTACGAGCCCCTTCCTACTTTAGTTGACCCAACTATTAAAACCTTAGTTTTTTTCTTATCAAACTCAAATAATAAAAATGTAGCAGGGTTTAACAGATTTAAAATATTAACAATGAATATTTTGATAATATATAGTAGAAAACAACAACTTTATCACTCCCTAATCAAATTTGCAGCATAAAAATAACTCATGTTGCAATTGCAGCATATCAACCTATTTTCATTTCAATGCAAAACAAGTCTATAACGCATAGGTGGCTGTGAAAAATTAAAGCCATGACAATAGCTTTTATTAATCACAGCTCTCAGAATACGTTTAAAATAGTTTTGGGTAGTTAAGGTTTTCAAAATGGGTAGAGGCAAGGTTATTAGTGAGAAAATTCGTTTACTGATAATTAAATTTTTTAATTCTGGGAAACCAAACTCAGAAATTGCAACTTTGTTAGACTTATCGCGGTACAGTGTGAGAAATATTGTTAGAAGATATAACGTAACTTTTTGAGTTAATATTAGGCCACGATATGTGAAAAAAAGTAATATCACAAATGCCGACCGAAGAGCATTAAGAAGAGTAATCGTGAAAAACAGGCGTGCCAATTATCTATAATTAAGTGCTCTGTGGACTGACGCTGTTGGAAGGAGAACTTCGAGGTGCACAACTCATAGAGAGGCCCACAAACTGGGACTTAGCACTTGCAAGGTAAGTTTTCTTATAAAAAAAAAGTGAAGTAAAAACCCTAAAGTTGCACAACTTTTTTATAGGCCAAAGAAAAGCCACTATTACCTACACTGCAAAATAAAAATCGGCTTAGATGGGCTAAAGAACATAGACAATGGACACTTCAACAATGGTGTGCAATACAAATGGAGTGATGAGGCCTGATTCGAACTTTGTGTTGGTGACAGTCGCAGTATAGTTATTCCCAAAAAAAAAGAAGCATTCCATGTTGACTGTCTAAAGACAAAAGTGAAATGTCCAGCATCCATTATAGTCTGGGGCAGTATTTCATCAAAAGGAGTAGGTAAACTTCATTTCATTGATGGAAATGTGGATACAAACAAATAATTGGCAATTTTATAAGAATCGCTTTTACCAAGGTTTCGTGTTTCAGCAAGATGGTGCAGCATACCATACCTCAAAAAAGGCTATAAAATGGATGGAAGAAAATAATGTACCACTTTTGAAATGGGTTTCTAGCAGTTCAGATCTGTCACCTATAGAAACTTTGTGGCACGAGATGAAAAAGGTTCTACGACAACATCCTGCTCGTACAATCACCGAACTGAGACAAAAGCTTCAAGAAATATGGGATTGTTTTACACCAAATTTTTGCCAAAACTTGGTTAACACTATTCCCCAAAGAATTTCAGCCGTAATAAAAAATAAAGGTGATGTTACCCAATGGTAATGTTTCAATTGTTGCTTTGTTAACTTCGTGCATTTTTTCGCTCATTGTTTATTTGTTCAGATGTTCTATTAGTTATAGGTCTAAGTGATTTCAAATATGTATTTTTTACGACAAGTGTACCTAAAATGTTTTTGAGAAAATAAATTGTTTTAGAAGTAAATAGTTTCGTCATGTTTAGTTTATAAAGGCATATTTTGGTACAAATCTTGAAGTGGGCCAACTGAAGTGGGAAGGGGCTCGTATTGTCTAGTGTGGCCCCGCGGTTCGCCTTCTTCGAGATTAATGCAGCAGTTACTGATTTTATTCAGTTCCAAAAAAGTCAACTCCATTACGATAATATAACAAAGCACTGGAACATATTACCTGCAATTTGAAATGTTCATGTTGTTCACCCCGCTTATCAGTGGAAATCAAGAAAGCAAGAAGACAAGCTATTGGAATGTCGTCATTGGGTGTAGATAATGCAGTCGAAGTGTCCTGTCGACACAGCTCAAGCTTAAACTCTGCGAGTCCCTTATCCAGTCAAAATTATCTTACGGTGACTCTGTTTATGGACCTGCTCTTTTACAACGTGATGCCGAGCGGATTCAGATGATACAAAACTCATGCATCAGATTTTCTTATGGAATCCGTAAATTTGATCATATTAGTAGCGCTTTTGACCAATCGGGATGGTTTAAGATGAACAAATTGAGGAAACTGCATTGCCTATCTCTGGTACATAAGACCCTTATCCTTAAAGCGCCATATTATCTTTATACAAAACTAAGCCTCCTCTGCCAGTACGATCAAAGATCCTCTAGGAATAAACTCATCTTACTTATCCCGCGGCATTCGACAGCATTGTTCACACGCAGTTTCTCGTACTGGGCACCCAAACTATATAACTGCTTATCAAGTGAGTATAAA